TATATATATATATATATATATATATATATATATATATATATATATATATATATATATCATGAAATGAAATAACATATATTACTTTGTCATCTTAAGACATACCCGCGCAAATTTTTTAAGAAACTAATCGATCTCTGTGATAGCACTTTCTGATATCGTCGTAATGATAAAGTGAACTGATTAGGATCATTCGAGATAATCGTGATTAAGGTAATAAAATGGATAAGGACAAATACGTTACATTCCCTGAAGCATGCATTTTTTGTAACAAACAAAAGCTTATATTTTTATGTAAAAATGTTCTGTTCTAAAACTCATATTTCATCTAAAATTCAGTACCGCAATTCGTACTGGGAGAATAATAATTCGGAAAAGCTTTCAATATAGAAAGTATTTTTCTTAAGATTAAAAATATCTTTATCTATTCACTATCTTCAATTAAGACATAGCTGTGAGATATAGTACCATTATACTTATTATAATGAAATCGGTAGAGTAACATTAAATTTCTAACGTAAATTTCTGATCTATCTGTTAATTTTGCAACTACAAAATTATTATATACTATTGATCTCATATTCGAGAACGTTGTATCTTCACAATAGCCTCGATAGATCCTGCATCGGTTTCCAGATCGAAACTACACAATCAGGATAAATAGATACGTATTAAGAATAACCAAAACTGGAGCAAATGGTGCATGATTGCGCAATAAAAAGTGATGCTGGAAGAAGAAGCGAGATGTATTTTTGCTATGTTGACAATTAAGACTTTATTGTTTCGACAATTAATCGGCTTACAAGTGCGTCTCGCATCAGTAATCGGTAGGATCTTTAATTGAGTATTGCATTCGTCAGTTTTCACAAATGTCTTCCTATATATATATATATAAATATATATATATATATATATATATATATATATATATATATAAATATATATATTTATATTTATATTTATATACTGTGCTCTATAGAAGGAGAGCAGCGGGTGAAAGGTAACGCGGGAAGAGCTTAAAGCTACGTCTCTCCCGGCTGCTAACAACACACACGTATAAAAAAAATATTGACTCGCGCTACGATTTTAAGAGTGTTTGTACAGACACACACACTTATTCTTCCTCCTCAGGCAATGAAGTTTGAACTATTATTATAACTCACGTCCGGACACGAAAGTGGTTGGCTGAATGTGAATAATGAACAGAAGGGTTGTGTGTATACAGCGCGTCCCACGATTAGAATCGTGTTTATTCTTATGGATAAGCGTGGAGTTCGATCGGCGATCGGCAGCAATTTACTTTCGTTATTGGGTATTCTCGGCGTTAGATATCCGAAGAGCCGTTTAATCGAGCCTCCGTTAAAGTATCTCGTCGAGAGATCAAAGACAATTTGCATCATTAAGATCGAGATCGTTTTATTTCATATCGTAAAAAGAACGTGCGAAATCATAGTCGAATATATCAAAATTTTCTCGTCAGCAAATGAATTTTGTTTTCTCGATCAAGCTAATAACAAGAAAAAATCCAATTTTCGCGGTCTATCGTCGAAAAGTAAACAATTTAATCCTGGGACACGCTGTATCCCTAATCGATGTTTGCTCAATTATTGCTAGTCAGATCTACTGAAGCGAGGACTTTCTCTTTCTCGATGCCCGAAAATATTCCTAGGCGTTAACAAAGTAACGATTTCGCGCTGTCGACTTAGTAATAAAGTAATAAATTGTACTCTTCTCGCGTGTCTGAGTTAAGTGTATTACTTTAATATACCGTACTTTAATATAATATACCTAAGGGAAATCGATCTCGCGCTCGAACAAATGCGGTAGCAGTTTTGGTCATTGCTTCTCCGGAGATTAGTTTGTGTCTCTCTCTTGAGAAATAAAACGTGAGCACGTTTAAACCTGACGCGAAGCGAATAATCATTCCACGCAATCAGGGATCACGTATTCGCCGACAAGGTGTATACACGACACACCGCCGATCTTACAATGTATACAACTCTGCGCGATAATGATGTATTTTTTCGAAAACACTTGAGATAGTTCTACAGCGAGATCTGTGAGTACGCGCTAAAAAACGTCATTGTGGTGGGAACAGCCGCTAATGTTAATTCACAAAATGTACAATTCCCATATACATATATATATACACATATATGTATATCGTAAAGTCTCTTATCTCATCTTATTTCGTCCTAAAGATTTAGATTGTTGGCTATCGAGTTTGATTTCTTCAAGCGAGCGCGTGAACGCGTTGTAACACCAATCGCCGTTATATCTATTGTCCAAGCTCTTTATTATTTTCCTGATGATAATCGCTATAACGTTATCGTTGATATATCGATCGCATTATCTTAAAAGTGTTATGTAGAAGAATTAGTTGTTCCGCGAAGAAATCCGACTTAAGAGAAAGAACTTCGTTAAACGCCGATCGTATCTCGCGATTGAGCGCATGCAATTCCGTGTTTCTTTATCGCGAAGTCGAAGAGCTGCAACGGGAGGGGAGCTAGATCGCGGACACAAGGCCGTCGTTGTTACAACTGTTCCGAGCATGTTAAAAAATAATGTCGAAGAGTCGAGGGTTCACACCATGCAAATGTGGATCGCTCTCTAAAAATCCTATCAATCTCGTTTCCGGCGTAACACGATAAAAGATCCATACGATCAACATTCAATATTTATTCAACCAACGTCGCTTACTATCGCTATCTCTATTAAGTATATAACAATCGATTTGTGTAGCCGAGTCCGAGCGTCAAGTACGCGCAAATGGGGAGATAAGACTTTTTCGTTCTCCTTAGGCTTCGCGGAAGGCTATGTACATTTGTATATTGAGGAATACTGCGCGCGTGCGTTTGGGAATGTTGGCTCGAGATCGAAAGCAAGGGAACGGCACACATACACACACATATCGAAACGCGCGACGCCTCGTGAGTTTATATAAATAATAATAATTATAAAATAATAATAATACAAATACTCGGTGTAATACGCGACACACGGAGCGAACTGTTCAGTATTCACATTCTACAACGGAGAGTCCGAACTCGATAGCTACTGATCTGAGGATCTTCTTGACACAGAGTCTTCCCTTTCTTATTCTTCATTTCTTTTTAATTTTCTCTAAATATTATGCGTATGTACAAAAGTATATCTCTTACAGTGTATGAATTAAAAAAAACATAAAAGAGAGAGAGAGAGAGGATGGGGGCACAACTTAAAAGTAAAATAAAGTGACAACGTTTTAACGTTACCAAGGCAGCGCAATAATACTCCGGCATATCGATTAAAATAATTTAAGATATTTAATAGGACAATAAAAAGCCAAAAGTGCTGATGTTATAAGCTTGTAATTCAACAAAAAACAGTTAACAATGAGGAACGTCTCGACCGTATGATGCGGTCCTCTTCAACCGATTATTCTGATGTTAATTCTTATAAAAAAAAAACATGGTTCGCAAAATTAAGTCGCTCGCATATTCTTCAAAGTTAGTTGTGGCGCTCTCATATCTTTCGCAGTGTTAGTTATGGTCCAAAGAGTCTTGAGATCATTATATCAGGCGTGGTTAAAATTTTTACATGAATTAACGTTAGAGTATAATTGACTGAAAAGGGCCACATTATACGGTTGAAACATTGTTCATTGTTAACTTTTTTTGTTGGATTACAAGTTTATAACATCGGCACTTTTTATTGTCTTATTAAATATCTTAAATTTGTTTAATTGATAGAGCCGTTACAATCTTTTCATAATTTTATATGTTTACAATTAAAGTAATTTTCCCTCATGAGGACGGGTATGTAACTGGCTTATGCGGCGAACGTGTGCGATAAGACGGTATTACATTGCGTAAATGCAACGTTACTCCGTCATATCGTTGAAAGTATGAACGAGAATAAATTCGTTTAAATACAAACATATAGTTGCTCAGAAGACGATTTCGTACAAGCCGCATCATCAGACTCTTTTCTCAAATTCACCTAAACGAAGTATGAAACGACGTGTCGTGACTGGAAATTCTAACGACGAAACGCGCCACGTCCAGAGACAAATTTTGCTAATTATCTACTTTCTCTCGCGTAATATAATGAGATTCACTTGCATCAGTTTCAGGACAATTTATAGTTTCAGGACAGTTATAGTTGCATATAAATTATCGTTTGTTCAACTGATGTATCTAAATGGATTTTCCGCAGTAGGTAAATGTGAGAAATGAATTTGTCTCTAGATACATGTGCTTATGTACAATGTGATCCTCTACTTTAGATCTTTATAGTGATCCGATTATTTAGCGACGTTATCTCGGCTCGGTGAGAAGACACGTCGTCATTCACGGGGCACTCTTTTTCTCGCGTAAATCGAACAAAGAAAAAAAAACAAATCGACGATTGCAGATATAAGACTGCGTGTAACAAATACAAACGTATGTGTGATACAATGAGCAGTGTTCGGCTATTCGGCTATAAATGAACATAAATTAGGCCGCAACGTAGCGACTACACTTCGTTCTCGTTTCAACTTTCTCGAGTTGAAGTGTAATAATTGTCTGATCTATTTGGATGTCTTTAAATCGATAATTGAAATTTACACACATATATATTTGTAACAAATCTGAGAGATCTTTTTGCAATTTTTTTTCTTTTTTGTAAGTTGGAATGTAATTAATCGCAACGTGTTTCCCGGTATATTCTACAATTCAAATGTAATTATAATTCTCTCCTACAACTTTACAACTCTTCGCAAATCGAAATGTAATTTATAAGGAGATAACGGGTATTTAAAGATTACATTTTTTGTAAGGTATGTATGATTACATTCTAAACGGTACGTCGTATTAATCTCTTTCTTTTCTTTTTCTCGCATCGCTTCTAAATATCAACTTTTCGCAATTGACGCTTTCTATAAAGAAATCTCTAAAGATTTAACGCGATAGATCTCGTATTTGTCATTGTTCCGTCGATCGCGCACACCTGTATATCTGTGTAACGCACGGTGTACCTTTACAGAATGTGCCGGGAGTCACGCTTATGTCTCTCCGCGAGAATTCTTCAGCGATCGTCCGTCTAAGCAACTAAATAGAAATTCTATATTTTCGGTGTCAATTTGCTGTAGCTGATACACGAATAAGAAAAATCCTTGTTACAAATAAAATTAAAAATAAAATAAAATGTTAAAAAAATATATATTTTGTGTTACAAATCGGAATATTACCAAATACTATTTTTCACGACGGTAATATTCAAACGTAATATAATTATAAAGGAGAACTGCATCTCTACATAAGACGAAGCATATTTATGTCAAATTAGATCTTGACTGACTCGAACTTTGTTTCAGATCGTGAATAGATTCTCAGTGATCAAGCCTTTCAACCGATCCTCCATCGAAACGAGATTCGAAGAATTCCACCGAATCGATGATCTTTGTTATTTATTTTAGAGAACACGGTTTCGTGCGCAGATGCGCCAAAATTTTACGACAATTCAAAAAAACCAAGATCTCTTCGCGGGATGAAACCCAGCCGATCTTCACGGTTGAAAAAGCGCGACTTCCAGGACGCCCCGTACACCGAATCACTAACTCATGGCTTATATTCGAACTTCATTGTCTCGGTCTACTCGACAAGGAATCTCCGTGTGTTCTTCCCGGCGACTAACTCACTCGTGGCTTGTTACTTCAAGTCCAGTTCTACCTCCGGACTCTCCAACGAGAACGGTTTCAAGTTCTCCACGATCGGAGTCTTGTCTGGGTCAACGCGAATACGGATCTTGTTGGTGTCGAGCGAGCGCGGTAGCGTGCGCGGCAAATCGTCTTTGAAAGAGGCCGCCGGCGAAGCGTACGGCACGTAGATACGAACCACATCCGGACTGGGCTGATGCGGCGTCGCCCGCGGCGTCGGCAGACCGCCGCTGCCCGAGCTCGCGTTCGAAATATTACTCTGCGTGTCGAGGCTATTGTCCAGCGCCTGAGAACGTGTCGCCGAACTGAAGACCGACAGATCCGCCGTTGACGTTACTGACGTTTCGGCTAGCGACCGACGAGAACCATTAGGAGACGCGCCATCGTCCAGACTTGGATCAAATGAAAATTTGCTCCCTGCGAACACAGATAAACCCATATTAGAGACGCGTTTTTGAACAATCATTTTTGAACGCAATGTATATATGCGTGGATCCGATGTACTGAGTATCTATTGAAATGTAGAATAGTGCGAAGATGCCCGACTTATTCAAAATTACTGTTTTTAAGCGCTAAAAACTAAGATAATATGACAATACGATGATAATACGAAACACATATATGATGCTTGATGTATGAAGACAAATATGTGTAATATTTACTTTCCAAAAGTGAAGATAAGAATGGAAACTAGACGAATGTTTCACGCGTAACAATTTTAACGTATAAAATTGAGATTTTCAAGATAAAAAATATAAATTTCGAACGAAAAATATAAATTTCGAATACATGAGCTGGTCACAGTATTCGAAAGATGGACAGTGAGTTTAGTAAGAAGTACGTATTTACGTTTTACGAAAAAAATAATAGTATTGCTTATTTTCACCAGTTGTATCGCTTATTCACACAATGTCCGGAAAAGCGTGGTCGACTTGCAATGATAAGGTTGGATATCTTATCTCAATTTCGCACAGAATTGTGCAGAAATGACAGAGCGGGTTGCGCTAAATTATACAAGGCTTGGCTTGGTCGATTTTGCAACGTTTATTGAATATAAACATATGAATGCAGAAACGAGAAGAAATTCATCGTAGAAACTCATTGACGGATACTTCTTTCGCGAGAGGCGCATCTGAAAGCGAAGCGTACACGCGCCGCCACGGACGTGACTCGTCGGGAACCATCATTTTGAAGTTCCGACTAAATGCCGCTTCACGATCCAGAGCACAATCGCAGCTGAACACCGTCGAACACTATTTTAAAAAAATATCCACCGGTACTCACACGCGTCGATGCGTTCCCGCACGCGGGACGCAGGCCGCTTTTGTTGTTATCGTACATGATAACTATCTTACAATGCTACCTTACGGAACGTATTATCTCGCTAAAGATATCTTCGAAGGCTTACATCTGGCAAAGGCTTTCTAGGAAAAAAAGAGTTCCCTACAGACCTACGTTCGACATATCGAATGTCGTTTGAGCAAGAACTTTGCGGGCAGGAAGTCGATCGCGAGGCGACAACCACCATCGCCTCTCTCGCTTACAATCTAGTGCTATGGGTAATTTTTGTCCAAATGGCCGAATCATCGTCGGCGTCGCTCACGGCGTCGTCATCCTCGGCATCGTCGTTGCTACGCTCGCCGCGCGACATACTGTCCGTGCTAGTGTCGTGTAACGTTTCGTGGCTAACTCTAAACTCACCGCCAAGGCCGCTGGTCGGCTCGACGGGTGTAGTACTTTCCCTGCCGTCGTCAATCAGCGCCATGTCCCTGCGCTGCGCCACAGACTCTCGCATTACATGCTGAGCCTCACTAAATTCCTCGCTGCGCCTTCCAACCTGACAAACGAAACGGACATAAGCCTATCGCGTCTAGTGAAATTGCTATCGAAAACAGGAATATCGTGATACAGAAAGGAATGCATCATTCAGCGCACAATCGACATACTGCAAAAAAAATACATCGAGAGTTGCAGTGACTAATACGAGTGCCCGGTAACTAATATAGCCGATCAGAATTCTCATAAAAAGATGAGTCAGATGTCTAAAATAAAACTCACGCGACTCAAGACGTCTCTCCGTTTTCGAAAAAATTTATTGCAGAAAATGATGAATCCTTCTAACTCATATCTTTATGTTTTCAGCGTACAAATGTTTCACCTTGCTGGTAAAAGAGGGTTCCTTGAAAGTGCCGAATGGGAAACGCGGTAGCTCGTGTGGCAACGGCGGGCCCGGATAGTCTAATTTGGCACGCTTTAGCTCCTCCGTACTGCGTTCCATCGTGCTGATCACGGTGTCGTCGTCGAAGTAGAAATCCTTCTCTAGCTTGATTTGCAGGTAGTTGCAGAACTCGTCGAGGCTTTCCATCGGTATTAGGAAGCGCTTATGCAGCTTCATCACAGTATATGCCATGGCTGGCAATATACGGTCGCCGTCCAACAGAAAGATATCCCAAATGCGGAGGCCGAGACTAACGGGTGTCTGCGGGACAGTATCATTCATGTGTATCGAGAATTAAATGCCGAGAATTCGCGTCGCCGAAAATTCTCCTCCGCGAGAAAGGAGCGGTACCGTATAAGAGAAAAAAAGATTCACGTGAGGAAACGGAAGATGAAGAGAAAATAGAAGAACTTACTCTCTCCTGAAAGACAACAAAAAACCACTTCAACGCGTATAATATAGAGTCGCAGCCGCACTTGTCCAGCTTCCGTTTCAGCTTCGGCAGAAATTTGTTCATTATTTTGTCATGGTGCTCTATGAATCGGTTCAATTTTGGAAAACCATCCACGTAGAAGCCTACAATAAAAGTACGTTATTGCGCGCGCAAATACACACTCGATACGCTCGATACGTTAAATGTCAATATCGCCCGGAAGTTTGTAAACACGCTTGTGACTTGACCTTTCACATTCATGCGGTTATATTGTGCATGCGTTTTTTTTCCCCCGCCCGTGTGATAAATTTACACGGGAACGACGAACGGATCTTTTTGTCATCGATAAGCTTTCGTTCTTGCAACTTACCCGCATTCACGAACTTATGGGCAATAACTAGACAATCGATATTCCTCCCTTCAGAGCGAGAAAGAAAATATAACGTCGCCCGTAAAGGGAGTGAACACGCGTCGCTAAGGAATTATTTGCTATAAGAGAGAGCCCGACCGTGCATGCTATATTTTTTGTCGGCGAGTAACACAGAAAGGCCCCAAAACGCGTCCTCCTCATCCATGTAGAGCAGCAGCAAACCAGCTAGCACGGACATTCCTTGGCAATATCCTACTTCCATGTTGTACATACTATAGGCAGCCAGTACATAGAACATGGACTTCTGCTTTATGCTATATCTCTCCCTGAAAGAATAATGATAATAAATAAATCAATTTTTTTCAGATACGCGCCTGCTGATAAGTTCATATCTGCTCATATCATATACACACGTACCTATAGTTAATGTGATCTCTGTATTGTCTTGCAACGTCGGCATCGATTTGTCTTATCTCCGTAGACCATTGACGGGCCAACTGCAGCATCTCCTCATATTTGCCTGCTTGCTCCTTCTTTAGATTCTTGATCCCTAGAAGGAGAGACCATACTTGTCCGCGAAATCTGTTGGGAATCCCTTTGTATATCCTACGCCGCAGCTTCTCCTTGGTCGAGGCACTGTCCCATTGCTTTGTCATCTTCTCCCATTTTTTCAGTCTCTCCATCTCCACATGATGCAGCTTGACCTCGTACGGATCCGGCTTCTGTGGTAATCTCTTATCGCTGTGGGAGAAAGAAATTGTTAATAAATACATTGTAACTCAATGGCTGTGTCCAGCAGAGGAAGTTACTTTGCAACTGTTGCAAAACTTGTGAATCTGACTAGTGTATACTCTTAAATTCAGCCAAGATTAAGAGCATATACTAATTAGATTCATGAATTTTATACAGTAGCTTCCCTTGCTGAAAGCAGCCAATATTATTGTAATTCTAAATGAACACAAATACACACTGTATAAATCCATATCTGTCTGTAGTATGGTAGACCTCGTAGGCAGGATCCTCCCAGGGATCAATCTCAGCTCCTTCCCTACCGCGGTCATAGCAGCTGAAAATCCTATCGCGCTCTGCGGCAGACCGTTTCAATAGTTCTTCCTCATTCATCCCACGTGACAGTGCGCGGCCACACTTACAAGCATGCCGTTTTGTTAATGAACTTCTCTACCTGCATCTAAGCATGTAGCTGCATCTGCAAACACAAAAGGACATTGGTATATCTCACAGGTGGGAGCAGTTTAGTAGGCCTTACACGGATGTCTCTGATAATGCAGGGCCAAATGATTCAAACAACCAAGAGTTGCACAAACTACAGCTGAGCTCAGAACGTGTCCGCGCACTCGAAACTGTCAAACGTGTCGGAAAACGTTCCGTTACAAGCGGAATACATGATATAATGAAGCAATGTTGGAATTACGTGTGTCCTCTCGGCATTCGCGCCGCCTGGAGCGTAACAGATTTCGTGGTTAAATCATGAAATTCGAGGTGCGAACTGACTGGCAGGTGCAGCGCAGCGGAACACGCATACACTTAACGCGTAGCGATGAGGCCGAAAGAGCTCGCGATGGATTTGTCCGGTTTCTTACTAGCTAGGCGCAGGCGATACACGCGACACAACATTTGAACTCCTTGGCCGCTCGCCTCGTTACTCCTCCTCGAGGATCCGCAGAAGGACACCGCGAGCCTTCCAACGCGAGCCTGGCGTGCTCTCGCGGCGCTACCGCGGTTTAACTTCGCCAACATGCATCGGCCAAAACTTCCGTAATCGCTGGCGAAAAGTCTGAGAAGAGTCACAAACAGCTGCTCGAGTCGAATCGCGCAGATGAGAACAAATAATGAATCTTTTGACCTGCTACGGAGTCCCGTCTTATTTGACAGGGAACAGGTCGTCCGCTTCGCCGTCGAGTCCTACTACTAGGAAAATGAGGCACGTTTGACCTGCCGTTGACTCGTACTACTACCTCGTTTTTTTTATCGCGGATGGTGGCGTCTCGTAGCGGCAATTTGGGGCTACATTTGAAATAACTGATATTTGAAATAACCGCAAAAATGATACTTTAGTACGACGTCGACAAATGTGTTGGACGGATTCTTCTTCGAATGATACGACTCGCTGGTGGATTAAAAATCCAACGAGAAAAATCATGCCGTGTTGTCTCCAAACGCTACGACCTCCCTGGTGAGTCAAATTATTTTATTTTCAGATTGATACTTGATCTAACCACAAAAACGACGCTTTGCAGTTTAGAATCTTGGCAAAGGTGTGTCTTGCAAGAACTCTCTCGAATAACGCAACTTGACGATGGATCGGAAAGCCAACAAGAAAGATCGTGCCGTTTTGTCTCCAAACGATATCACCTCCGGTGAGTTGAATAATCATTTGTTTCACACAGTGTGGCTGAATGGCAGAGAAGGGAAGGAGGAAGAACAACGAGTATCAAAATATAACCATTTAATTAGAATTTTACTAACTTTCGGTATAAAGACCTAGAATACAAGATTTCCACCTATATAATTATAGGTATGTCTTGGTTGTGTGTCGTATGTGTGTGTGTTGCGACACTAAATTTTAATTTAAAAGGTACTCTATAAACGCATCACAGCTCTCGTGACACATCGCACAGTCATGTAAACTCCATTGTCACATATCGCGTGTATCGTATTCACCTAGGTAACTCTTTTAACAAGCTATTCGACGGCAATACAATCGAAGAAAAAACTTAACGTGATCGAGATTCGTTCACCGCCCTGGTAACGACCAACGTTGACTCGCGGTAAAAACTTGTGATTGCGGCAGTGATTAATCGGCACGAATCGAAATCCGAGGAGACGATGTGTATTGCATATATGTATGGTGCATATAATGTAAAATGTACCCTGAGAATAAAAATACTTGAAAATTTGTAGAGTATAAAGTTTATTTCACAGAAATATTTCTGTGAAATAAACTTTATACTCTACAAATTTTCAAGTATTTTTTCTCAACACATATATATGAGAATGATTTATACGCACTGGGAGAAACTACTTGAACACTTACTTATGGGATATATAAAGTTTAATTCTGTGAAATAAAATTTATTTTTGTGAGTAAACTTTATATCCCACAAATAAATTTTCAAGTGTTTTTTTCTTAGTATATGTATGTAAAAGTGATGTACATACACTGAGAGAGAGAAAGAGAAAAAGAAGAATTACTTGAATATTTATCTGTGGGATATAAAATTTATTTCTATGAATAAACTTTATATCCCGCAAATAAATTTCCAAATATTACTTTCTCAGTGCAAACTGGCTAGATTTTCTAGATGTTCGACCCTTTGTAACAAGTAGAACTTGTAGAATTTAAGTAGAAAAATCCTCCGCTATTTTGTAGAGGAACTACGCGACAATTATCGAAATATTAACAAAAAAAATTGATCAATCTACGCGCACGATGCGGTGGGATAAAGACTGCTATGCAGAGCGATCTAAAAACACGCATCTCGAATTAGTTTCCGTTTCAAGCTATGTGTTTGCAAATAGCACTACAGAGCTGGAGTTAACTCGTCAACGTCGTCGTCGCTCATCGGGCGGATTTTAAAACGAGTACACATTCCGATCCTGAACGACGCGAGGATCAAGGAGATGTCGTCGAGAGAGATCTAGAGGACGGCCCGGTTCATTAAACATCCTCCCGACGTTTCTTAGGCTCTCTCGTGTCGCTCGGGCATCAACTTGACATTTGATCAAGTAACAGATGGCTTCTGGTTAAAATTGACTTCCCTCCGCGAACGAATCCGACGCGCTCTCTACCTCTTTCGCGCTGACAGAATTTCGTATTAAAAAACATTGTTATATAAAATAGAAATGTATATCGGCCGGGAGTATTCGAAGCAGAGTACTCGATCTCCTCCGTTGACTCGACGAGGAGAGTTAACGTACAACCGCCTCGGAAAGTGTCGGAGTATAGGATTCGAGGATAATAGGCTCTCTACATGCGCTACGTTTCAGTGCGTTTGCTTCACCTCCAGCAATTGGGGATAATTCTCCACAATGTTCAGCAGGATCCCGTCGATGTACGTTCTCAACTGTGTATTCACTTCTTGCTGTTCCTTCAATGCCTGCTTCATCTGCAATACAATAACAATGATTTACTCAGAGTTGCTCTGAGAACGCAGCGATTGGTGAAATTTCGGACTAACTTTTTTACTTCATTTGATTCAACTTGATTTCATCCGATTTAACTTGTGATACATACCTCAGCCATCGTGCACAGTTCGCCGAATTCCTCGAATCTTTGGCCGTCTATCTGTGAAACGATTAGAAAGTCGGCGTTAATGAGGTGGTTATTCGCGATCGCTAACCAGTCACTGTATCAAACGACGATAGCGCCAGTAGTACAATGGATTAGCAGGTGACTCATTATGCTCTATTCACCACTAATCGATAAATTGTTATAGAAAATTAGACTTTCTAATCGATCTGACATTACGACAAGGATAGAGTACCTGATCTGGATTCATGCCGGCTAACAGCTCTACGGCGAGACTAGGTCCCTTCTCGGCGCTGTTATTGCAAGGATTTAACATTAAAAGTTCACGACCTGCTTGCAACGCTGCAGCGGCCTGTAGTTCGTCCCGAGATTCTTCCAAACCTGCGAAATCATGTGCAAGATGTTACAACATGATCAGCTATCAAGAAGATAAGTTAATCTTTCTACTGTGTTAAATTGCATGATTTACTACTAGGCAATATAACCTTATGTAATTACAGATTAGAAATTTATTTCAACTTCATCACTTCGTCGAAATTTGGTTTTGATTTTAAAAGTCACAAATTTATTTTAATTTTAAAAGCCATAGATATTTTATATTTATTTATATCCATTCATTTGTCATCACAATTGTATTCATTTAGTTCTTGTTAATGTAAGCTACGTGTTTCACAGCAAAAATATCCGAACGTCAATAGAAATCAGAGGAGAGGCTCGCGTTATTTGGTTTAAACACACGCAACTATAACGGTGAACGTACTCTTATTACGAGCTTGAAGCTGAGCCACCTGCTGCACCAGTTCCTCGAGTCTCTGTTGATCCTCGGTGTGCAAGGAAAGTTCCTCTCTCATGGCTTCGAGCAGATGATGAGCCTCGTTCGCTCGGCTCACCGCGTGGCGTTCACTTTCGCGCGCAGCGTCTGTTTCCCTCCTGGCCTCCTGCAGATCGTTCTCGAGCCGCGTCTTATCTGTCCGCGCTCTCTCTAGCTGTTCGCGAACTCGCGCGATCTCGTCTCGTAGACTAGAGCTGTCCAGCTCCACCGCTTGCAGCTTGATCGCATAGTTCTCTAGCTGTAACTGGCGCTCGCGTTCCAAACGACACGCCCATTCTCGATGCCTTCGTTGCTCAGCCTGTGAAAGATTAAGAAAAAAGTACTGCAAATATTTTCTTAACTTAAATTTTGTTAACTTAAGTTAAAACTGCCAACGCATGGAATTCGAAACAGAGTCTCATTTGCGTGAAATTTTTCCAAGTCGTAGTCGCAATTAGTCTTGTTACAGCACCTTTCACTTTTTCAGACTCTCGACTGGAGCGTGGATTATAAAACAATCTGTGACTTGTAAATCTCTTTCTGTAAACACGATTTTGTGTTTAAAGTCAACGCGACGGAAAGAGATTTATCCTGTTATCTTATCCCGGTTTTTCACCGCTATCTTTATTCGCAATTAATTGAACACGACGTTACAGGATACGGGTGAGACACCTACTTGAAGCCTCTCCTCTGCTCTCGTTTCCGCATCTTTGGCCGCTTCCTCGAGCATCAATATGCGCGCCTGTAACGTCGCATTCTCCTGCTTCGCTCGAGCATACCTCTCCTCACCGACCGACTTAGTATCCACCAAAGCATGCATCTGCTCTTGGATCATTTGAACCTGCAGCATACGAAGAAGAGAAGTTTAACGTTTCGTGAAACATAGTGAGTAATCTCGATCACGTTACACTTCAGAACTCATACTCTATAATCTAAATTATTTTCAACGATCCCACGTCAATGTGTTAGATTGGTGTAAAAGATTTGTCGTGTTTGTCAAATAAAATACAAAACAAAAATTATCCAATCTCGAAAGATTAATTATTACTACGTATAAAATGAATGAGATCAATATAATATTTTTCTTACATCTAATGACTTCCCATTTTTCCATTTTCCTTCTAATATCCAACTTCCTACGAGAATAAATCTTTTGTACCAACCTAATATCAAATCGAAGTTGTCAGTTTAAGACATCAGCTATACTCGATAAATTCTCGCCTCTGCGCAATTCTCGCTGAATTCCAGAGAGTATTTTTAAAAAGTATATTTTTTTTCTAATAGAAGCCGCGAATATATGTTATTTTTACATGTATTCTACCGTGTGTTCCGTTACAGAGAAAAATTTCAAGATCCACAGGGTGCCGGCCGCCGTAAGGCCGGTCACGAACCGCTGCTCAGGGATGTAAATAAATCCCACGTCGATCAGCGCCCGTGTAAACGCGTACTGCTGCTACGTGGGCGCGGAATTGCGCGGAGAAAGTGTATTGAAGGAAACGCGTATGCCGTTTAAGAGTAGCTCTTGCGCGCGTGCCCACGCTGCCGCGACTATCAATGGGAGTGAACAGGATACTGTTCGCGGCCTTCCCACAGATAACATAATAATATATTGTATGAATATTCTAGACGCATAGTCGAGCGCGCTTTTCTGAAAAGCAATAGTACTGCGAAACTATCACTTTTCACGTAGTCTCATGTGACAAAAGCTGTTGAATTATCGGAACAAGATTTTAGCGCGTATAATTATGTATAATTAACTTATAATTCAACAACCACGTGTAATGTTGCATTTATCGATGCCACAATCAAAGTGACTGTGATAAATTTCTACGAATAATTTTGCCAGAGCGTCATGGCACGATTGTTACAAGTACGATTGAATGGAACCTCGCTACGATAATTCTACGGCTTTTCGTTCGGATGATCTGTACGAACAGTAAGAAGAGCGTATATATTACGTCTTTTCAATTTGCCGCTGCACGGATATACCTCGCGGTTATCTCACTTGAGCCAGCACCTTAAATTATCGAGGAATATCGTTAGCGATAAAGACGGCGGCGGTTATTGGATAACAAGTCAGATACAATATCGCTCGACTCGACTTCTTGCGATTCCCAGTAGGACGTTTTCCAATAATTAGAATAAGCCACGTATACGTTTTTCGAAGCAGCGCGAAGTATCTAATGCGATTAGACTAGACATATGAAGTCCTCACGAGGGAAGTAAACATATTCCGCGTTTCATCATTTCGATCAAAGGAACCGTGCGATAGTCTTGATAAGTGATAATTCATTTGGAGAAAAAAAAGTGTTCGTTTTGTCGTTCTCATGGTTTGAATACATCCGCTCTGACAGACGCAGCAACGTACGAAATGCGTCGTTTCGACCAGTCGATGCCTCTTGGCAAAGATGACGCATAGTCTATATTAATGTGACCCCCACGGAAAGAAACCACGTATTACTCAGTAATGTCAATGAGGTTCACTTTTTGTCGGAGAAATTAACACATATCGAGTTCTTCTATCGAGAGAACGCAATCACATGTCGTTCTATGAGGTCCACAATACATTTCTAAGAGTGTTTACATCTTCTCGCTCACTCTCTCACGAAGATTCGCACATCTCCGGTTCATATTCCGTCGTTATTACTACACGAAGATAATCTCTGCGTTCGTATGCGAGAGCAATCATGTAACCGCGTCGTGAGTAAAGTTTATTTTTATTTTTTATTCTAGGAAATGAAAAAAGGATGTCAAAGAGAATTCAAAGCGAACATCAGCGAGTGTCAAAATGCAAATTCCAATGACACCGCGATGAACTTCCCGCCGCACGCAGTCGCTCTCTTTGGCCTCTTACTTGCTCGGTGAGCCGGGACCCGCGGCGACGAGTCGACGGTCGATCGCACCGCTGCGCTGGCGGTGACGACGACTGATGCTGTCCCACAAATTGGAACTGGCCCTCCCATAGGTCGTACTCGAGGCCGGCGCCGGGTACGGACGACGGCCCCTCCCCGGAAGACGTGCGATCGCTCGAGTCCGTCGTTTCCTCGCAAAAGTTCAGCTCCATCGCGTGCGTTTGTCGCTCTCGTTGCTCCCCGGATCGTCTTCGTCGTCGTTGCGTCTATCGCGTCACGTCATCGCCCATATCGCGAGCGCACTCGTCATCCCCGCGCGAACTCCGTCGCCAACTCTCTTGCTTTCTTCGTCTCCGTCGTCGACGTCGTTGTTGTTGTCACTGTCACCGTCTTCAACGTCGTCGTCGTCGCCGTCGCCGTCGCCGCCTCCGTCGCGACGTGCGGCCGCGCCGCGATAATACGCATCGAAAAGGCGCCTCGGGACCGCCCGGCTTCCTTCACGCGCGAGGGACACGCGCACTTCCTCCGCCGCGTTCTACGCGACTCGACGCGCCAGGAATATATTCCAAGTCCGTCCCAGGTCTGCTCGTCCGTTCGTTCGTTCGTTCGTTCGTTCGTTCGTTCGTTCGTTCGCTCGTGCCTTCGTACGTATGTATGTATGTTCGTCTCTCTCTCTTTCTCTATCTTTCTATCTTTCTCTCTCTCTCTTTCTCTCTCTCTCTCACACAATCCGATCGCCCACCGCGGGCCGGGAGTCTGGGGAGTAGTCGCCGCCGAGCTATTTGTGCGCTCCATACCGCGTCCCGACTAACTCCGCGCCAGTCAAACGTGTTACGTCGAACATACTCTAACGCGCCCTTACCGCCTTCCTCTCCTCGCGACCGCGACATTTCCGAGCGAGGAAAACGTCGGTGACGCGGCGGGCGGCGCGGGTCTTCCTTTATCGCCATATGGATATCGACGGGTAACACTCGCTTCAGCGCGTTACTCCGAGACGGTGAATGCGCGAAGTTGGTGTTCGCATTTAGCCGCGGACTCAAGAAGTAGAACTCGTCGGTGTTGCATCTCGTTCGAGACAGACGCGACATATTTTCTCTCTTTCTTCTCTCTTTCAAGAATTGCAATTTCCGATTTCTGAATTGAACTAATTTGAATTGGACAGGATAATCTTCTTATATATTAACACGTTGATTGTTACACTGATTTCCATTGAGTGTTTCAACGCTCGAATGAAATTTGAATCACCAAAGATATGGTAATTAAATGCAATTCACGATGTATATATTCCGTAAGTCGTTTCATTGGCTCTCTATTGCTGTATATGTAATTTGTTATCAATTAGAGAGAAAGAAAAAGACATCAAAGGCTGACACAAGATGTAAGATGTAAAATAAGAAATTTTCATTTGTTAATATTTATTATATATATACACATATATATATATATATATATATATATATATATATATATAAAGAGAGAGAGAGAGAGAGAGAGAGAGAGAGAGAGAGAGAGAAAGTTGCACTTTATGAGTGAATTAATAAAACGCATTATAATTATAATCTCGGTAACTCCCATGACAGTTAACGTATTTGATACGTTAGATCAGGAAAAATGAGATGCAGTCACTGATGGAAGTTATACGTCTGCAGAACCAGAACGCGATGCCAGGCAAATGTCAATAGCGCTCGATAAGTGCTCGCCGATAAACGACACATGCCCCTGACGCATTATTGCAGCCACGTTGCAAATTTAATTCGCGATGAGAACGCGAGAACGTCTCGCGCCGACGCTCGCCGCTGTGGTCGGTAAACGCTTTCCAGACTAACGCGCGTCCTCCGAGACGATAACGTCCGCCGCTGCCCGTTACATCACCGCAAGTGTGTCAGCGATTGCGAGGCGTACGTAGCACGTCGAAGTACCGACGAGTCGTGCACGTTTATCTCGCGCATCGCACATTTACATAAGGAGCACGATGCGCGCACATGCACGTTACACGTTAATTATTGTACTTGACGCAGAGCGTCCCCGCTCAGGGCTCGCTATTAATCATCGTCGCGCGTCATCGTCATCGTCGTTCTCATCATTGAAGATCACGTCGCGAAATCTAATTTCCACCCCAGCGGACATGTCACGCTCCATTACCTTCGTCCAACTAACGCTCCTGTTCTAAGATCGTTAAACTCCGCGATGTATTTCATTTGCTGCAGCTGTAAGGGAGACCGTGTCAAGTTGGCCCAAGGATCATGTTGGCTGTGCGTTTTATATTTATCGTGAGAGAGAGACAAGTAAAATGCTCCTTTTACAACACAGATACTTTTTCTATGTTTAAAAAGGAACATTTGTTAATGAATACTTTTTGAAAGTATAATGAGCATGTCTTGAAAGGAACATTCTTTTCCCACTGTCTCTCCCACAATAAATAAACAGGTACATAATAAATTAATACATACTGTATACACACATATACGCGAACCGTACGACCAACATGACTTGAGCCAAGTGGACCCGATTTCCCCTGATCACTTTTCCATTGTAATTACGACCAGACATCGACTCGGCATCGTCGATCATAATCTCAGTAACCAGTGCTGTCTCGGAAACTCGCGAAGCGCCCGTCTGCTGCTTACCGGCGAATTCTTCTGATCGCATAGATCTACCTTTGGCAAGTTCCGTGTTATATTTACTTCCGCACGCGCTAAATTAAGTCATGTAACCGGGGACGCTCACGTTGCGAAATCGCGCGACCAATTTCGCGTCAGCAGTGGAAATCGACGTCTCTCGCATTCGTTCATCGCGTGTTACATTACCGAGCCACCGCCGCCGACGTCGTCGTCGTCGCCGTCGTCGTGGATCAGCTCGGAGATGCGCTTGGTGTTCTCCTCGCGTACAGTTCGTGTACCAAGTACGCAACCCATCCAACGATCAACAGGAAACTCACGAAAGACCAACCCGGCCATCCGACGAAACCAGCAGATTGCATCGGACAGGCCATGCGACGCATTTTCTTCCGCGCGCGAGACCGCGCGTCGCGCCGGGCAACGAATTTTCGCTTGCGAAATCGCGCGACTTGTGGTTCGTAAACTTCGTCGGTTCGATTGATCGCCGCCACGGCAATTCATACTTCCACGCGCTGGAATCTCGCCAGGCTCGCCGTTAAAATCGTCGCCATTGAGCTGTCCTTCGTTCTCTCCTCGTGACGAAATGGTAAACGCGTGCTCGAATGTGTGATACGAACGAATTCGTATCTTCCCCTGCGAATTTTCTTTTTCTTCTACATGGACGCGTGCAAACCTGTCAATTTAATTGACGACCCGTTGCGGCGTCGTCATTGCGTATCTGTTATATACGTGTATGCGTTCGTTGTGACAGTCGTTTGTCCTTCTTGCGCGAGATTTATCGAAATTGGGGTAAGAAAGCGAGTTATACACAGCATGCCAGAAATAGCAGAAAGCAGACACATCGGGGACAGGCCGATATAACTTCCACGAGATCTGACGTTATGACGGTATCTGCGATTTAATCGTTGATAATGCAAACGCGACAGTTTGCAAAAGCTCTAGTTTTATCTGCAGGAACATTGCAATGTTCCACAAAACATCATACATTTCATTCATCTCTTATCTTACTTTTTTAGCTTTACCTTCTTACCATTTCATTTTCTTAATAATTTAATATGATTTAATATCTTGTAAATATTTTTCTGGATATTTTTTTAATTAAGATATGAATTTTTTAAATATCTTAATTTATCTCGTTACGTGAAATTACGCCGGCCTGACATTTTTCCCATGCGATGCGAAAACGAATTTGGCAAATATCAAACGCGCCATTTACATTCCGAAAAAGTGATATGGTAGTGGCAACTATATAAGTGACAATCACGCCAGTTTTGTATGTAGAATGTATAGGTTTAATAAATCATTTTGTAGTTATTGCAACAAAACTGAATGATTACGAAAACTTTATAATAACTCTTATGTAGCTCTCGTAATTTGGTTTTAGTTGCAGTAACTACAAAATAGTTTATTAAACTGTAAACATTAATTCCACATAAGAAATTTGTATGGTTTCCACTATCATTATAGAAATATCCTTAATCTTAAATTAATCTTCCTTCGCGAAAAGTATTTATATTTGCTCTCATTAATGTCCACACGTAATTATATTTTACTTAGATTGTCTTTACAATCTCCTAAATTTTAGAGTATTATTTTTCCAATTGTAATAAACTTTCTTGTATCGCTCTGTCTACTACGCGTCACGACGATCGTATTTCGAGACGCAAATTCCGGTTCCTACGGCAATATCAAGCTTTTTCATCGGTTGGTACTCGATATCTCTTCTCATCGCATCGTCGTTACTTTCAGCGCTTTCGTCGTCCTTATCTTCGTCGTCGTCCGCGTAGACGGTATTGACGAACGTCTCTGTTTCCATGTTCGCCAATGACGGAAAAGAAGAAGGGGGCAGCTCGTCGCTAACATCGTGCGAGAGCCCATAATTCTCGCTTTTCTGTTGCTCGTTTCGCACGCCGACGTTGTTCGCGGACGCGCACTCGAGGAACTTCGCAGGACGACAATTCTGTGTCGTGTCTCTCGTGGCCGTCCTCGTCACCGCGGTCTGCACGAGTCGAGAAAGGATGACAGGGTCAGGGCGATTTCCTTGAGGCAATCGCGCAGCCATTCTATGGGACTCTGTCCCTGCGATTATAGCCCTATACATAAGTGGGCGAAAAGAAATGCAAAGTTGCATTATGTTTCTGTTTGTCCTTCTCTCTCGAGAATGGGTTGCTCAAACGAGCAACGAGATCCGCCTTCTACGGCTGCGTTCCGCAGGAAGGCCATCCGTTCCTCCGAAGTGCCGGTTCTCGTGCGTCAAGGAACGTAACGATTAAAAGCAAGTCTTTCCCAGACCTACCGCGAACCATTTAACCCTGGATTATTCCCGTGGACGAGAGAAACATAACATGACTAAACTCTAATTAACATCACCGAACGACTGTATATAATCAACCGACGAAATCAAGTCTCATAGTTGTCTTATCGATTATTATTATATTTTTCATTAATGAAGAAAGTTTTTTATTAATGAAATTAGTCGCTGCACTGATTTGCAATATATCACGAGTCCGACAATACTTCTCTCAGAAATGTAATAGCAGGCTATCTAAAACTGCACAAAAATATCTAAGAAATAGTAACTATTTATTCATTTACTATTTATTCAGTGTATTTTTTTCTCAGTATGGAGAGTCAGTGTGTATAATCCAAGGTTAATTATCCAACAGCGTTTCTCTCCCTCTTTCTCTCTCTCTCTTTTTCACTATACGGTCGAATAAGTGCTTCACGAGACCGTGAAGGTGCGGACGCGGAGACGACGGGCGCGATTACCTGCAGCGGAAATCTCGCCAGCCAAACGGCGATCTTGCGCCGAGTATCGTTGGACAGTTTGCGGTAACATACAATTCCGACCCAGATTCCGGTTACGAGGAAGACGAGGAGCAGGATGGCAAACCAGGACCACCAGCTCGCGGTCTCCCCCTTCACGACTTCGTGATGGGTACAATACGGCGACGCCGTCGGGTAAAACGCGCCCGAATGATAGTGATATGCGGCGCAAGGGTCGTACGGCGGCCACCGCGGGTAGCCGGCCGGATAGTAGGGATAGTAAGGGTTGTCCTGAGGGTTCCTGTCATGATTTGAACGAGATGCGCCGGTATACGACTGTCGAGAACGCGACGCGCACATTGACGACACTCCGGACGATCCCTTCAAAGACTCGACGGGACGTCGATACCTAACGTTGCGTGTGACATTCGGTTGGAGACGAATGACCGATAATTTTGTCGCGGGAGGATCCCCGAACGAGGTTACAAGTCAGATTGTATCGGCGGTCTCGCTCAAAAAATGACGAGCGAATTTTCGTGTTGCCCCTTCGTCGACTACATTCGCGTGGCACGCGAATTCTTTTTTGCTCGCACTTCTTTAACGTTTCTTCTCTTTTTCAGAATGGAACGAGCGAGAAAAGGCGCAGAGGCTGCCTCACGCGATTGACCACTCAATTCAAGACGGCTGTACGAGTATAACATGTGCCGAAAGACGCAAAGTGTAACTCACTTTGTGACTGAGATCCATCACGTCCTCCAAAGATACGTCACTGTACACGTCGTCCGCGGGATCGTAGTTCGAGCCCATCCCCGAGCTGTTGAAACTGCCACTGCGATAAAGCTGGCTGCAAAAGTCGTCAGAAAACTTCCTTAGAATTCCGCGAAGGCGTGACGGACTGGAAAACGGAGTCTTCCGATCGTCCTCAAAAGGTGATATTAAACAACCGCGAACAATAACCGCGAGAAAGAAAACGTGTCATCGCTTCAAGAGCAAGCTTGTCGCGATTCGAAATATTCGTCAATTTTCAGCAATATTTAATAAAAAATTAAGCACGTGATGGGAATTTAGATATTTCGGACTGGAAAAATAAAAGGATAAGTTCTGTTTGCAACAGTTTTCCTCAATAAAAATGTAGATCTTTTCAAAGAGAAATAATTCGTATAAAAAACTAATTGACAATAATTAATGAAAACTATAGCTGCAAAGATTTTCATTTCAAGCAACAGTACGTTCTCCTTATTATTTTTATTTTTGGTCGTCGCGCACATAGGTGCCGATTGCTTCTCGCTTTGGCGCCAACGGATAAGACACGTCGCGGATGACGACTGTAGAAGGACATATGAATATCGAAGTGTATCGTCGGGTAGAACACGAGTAACGCAAGAAGCACACCCACGCGTTAGAAAGTCCGTCGATTCGTGTTCCGTGAAAGGAGCGACTCCGAGGAATAATTATTATTATCGTCGGTGCAAAGGCATCATCCTACGGTCGGCGAGCGAGACTCTTTTCTTTTGCGCGGATCGCCCTCTTCCTCTCGCGTGTGCGCGTCAATTAAATCGCAGGGGAAGTAATCAAGCGTAATAATTGCCGAGACACGCACGAGGAAGCTCGCCGGCGGTCAGAGGCGTGTCGAGAATCTCTCAAAAATAAAAGAATAAAATAGAAAAGTAAAATAAGAAAATAGAAAGGTCGTAGCGTAAACCTCAACGGGACATCAAAGTTCGTCTTTTCTTACCTCGCTAACGCGTTGGAGCTCAGCCTCTTTCTTCCCGAGCTGCAAACAACGAAAATACACTTGTGTCAGCATTTGTATGTGCGTAGTAATTCCTAAGATTTCGAAATAATTATTTATAGAATCATATCTCCAATTCTTATCTATATGCGCATCTATTTCTCGAACGTATTCTAGCGGTCATCGCGCGCTGCCAAATTTCACTGCCAAATGTAGTCGCAATCGTAAGCCAAATCAGCGTTTCTATAAACGGCCACGCTGAGTAATCGCGTTTACCGTGCACGCGAATATATGTTTTTCATGTATGGAAAAATACTCGGCTCGTGTAACTGATTTCGCTGCCTGGGGATCAGACGAAAATTCGGCTATAAGTCTGTGGTAGAAACATAAAAATTCCTGTAAAAAAGAGAGAGACTTCTAATCAGTCAATTAGTCATGTCAACTGAATTCTAACGCAGCCGAATGTTCAAATGAATGTTTACGACCACTATAGCAGAGATATCGTTTCTCGTCACCGAGTTTTCGTAGAAGCTCCACTTTGCTACACGAGTCGCGAGTTTCTTTCCCGTGTACACACGCACGTGCGTACATACATGCGTATGCGCGCGGTACCGCAAAGAGCTCTCGATTTTTTATCAACCGTAGCGAACCGCAAGCGTCATTTAGCGTAGACGACAGTTAAACAGCGATCAAACATGCTCTTATGCCATATTACTGATCAAATCCGACGATCCAGGTCGAGTCGGAGTCACTCGTGGCTCAAAGTACCGTAGTATAAAGTATGCAGGGTGTATCGAAAGGCGAGCGCTGAGTAATCGACGTTCCGCGCTTAAATACATGCCGCACTGTCGAGAAAGTCTGATCGATTCACGTTTAATAGCTTTTGACGTTTCTAGCGCGTCGGAATCGTCCCAGGATATCCCGCAGACGACGCGCATTTCAACGAGCTGTTGGAGTTACCATCATTAGAGAGAGTTATATCATAAATTTGGATACTCATCGTGCACAGGAATACATTATGAGCATTCGAGTGGCCGGCTCTCTCGACTACCGAGAGAGCGCCGGTAACGCAAGAGTTCCCTCCGTCTCGGCCTGATATTTCGACTGTCGCTAACAAGCCCCTCTAGCTCGAGAGAGCAGGAAGCGATTGTTTCGGTAACGACGTTCCGCGCGAACTCGCTTCCGTCATTCTGTGTGCCGCGAATAGATGCGACCGGCGAGATTACGGACGCGTCTCTCCTCGTGAAATTTCGCGGGCGCCTTTCCTTATCTCGCGGGCCTGTAAACGCGCAACACGTTGCGGACGCGTCGTTCAACGTACGTGTGAGTCGTCGCTTTCCCACGAGATCCTTTTTTTCGCACGCCATGAAGCCGCGACCACGCGGAGCGAAACAGCGCGGCGCGACGTCGCGTTATTGTCTGGTCGCGCGCTTTTTCAGCGCCGACGGAAATTCCGCCGGACGGGAAGTTACGTGCGCGCGTATGCGCACACATACACGCGGAGAAAATAGTTAGGTTGACTCACACGTGAATCCAGTTGTGCCAACCAGATTTTCTTTCAGTAGTAAAATACGAAACAACTAATTATGTGCTCACTGTCACATAGCAATTGCTGAGTTATTGGCGTTGCAGCAGGGAAGATATCTGGTTATTTCAACCAGAGTATATCCGTAGTAAATGTCATCCCAACCAATTTGTGGTTGCCACAACCAGATTACGCGCACTGAGAGAAAATTCTAGTTGCTTTTAGCGTCAACTATACTTTCTTGTGATCTTAATCACAAAAATAATTAAAAGAACCATCTTTCTAATAACACTTAGTAAAACAATTAATGGTTTTTCTAACTATTTTTGTGGCTAAAATTACAAAAGAGTATAATTGACGTCGAAAGCAACTAATTTTCTCTCAGTGCGCAACTACATTGATATAGTTGATGTACCAAAGTAACTGAGTCATATTAACCATATACATTATCATTACACAAAGATAACAAGGATGATATAGTTGTGTGCTGCTCACAACAAAAAGATTTCTGGTTATGTGCATCATATCTTGTTTTTCCGTGTATATTGACGCGCTCTCTGCTTTTCTCTATCTCTTTTTCTCTTACCAAGGGGGCGTTCTCCGCAACGAGGTGCGCAACCAGGAATGTCTCCCAACGGTGGAGTTTGGGCTCCTCGGATTTCTACAAAGTCAAGAGAATACGAATGTTAACGACGAAGTGAACTCACTCAGTTCGCTCTACGCATCGGCAGAATTTGTCGGAGCAGAGACGAACGACTGGTTTCGCGACTCGAAGAGCTACGCGTCACGCACAGTGACTGGCGGCGATGAAACATTCGTATATTTCACCGTCGAATCTCTCGACTGCGGTCACGTAATCCTTGAAATGTTCCTAGAAAGGAATACATCTCTGGGATTGCTAAATAATCCTTCTAAATAATTGTACAAATTTCGTTGGCTATAAAGCTGATTTCCTATTAGCGCGTACTTATATGCAGACACATTTTCGAAACTGTATTAAAATTCTCTTATACAAAAATGTTTAATTTTGTAAAATTTTGAGAATTTTCGTTTTGCGTATTAGAACGATGGATGCCAAATATATCGTACATTAGTTTAGCTCTTTAAATTAAACTTGAGATACGCGTGAGAGAGTTTTCATCGCTGTAACAGTGCAACGCCGTTAATAGGAAATCACGTCACTTCCTACCGAGTCCTTCGGCACATCGTGAGTACCGCAAGCTGCCTGTAAAAATATATTTCCATCATTACGCAACCCGTGTGACTCGCGCATACAGATAGCAAGTCAGTCGGTATTGTTCCAAGCTGATAGACATTGTATGCGACGTGCGTTATACTCTTACGTAAAATTGTACAGCGTAATGTGAAAGAACATGTTTCGAGTTGGGTATGATGGATTTTAACATGCGCCCCGTTATATTCAGCTTTGGAAGTAATCTGTTATATTCCGGCTAATGTTACATATCGAGCGAATAACGGCAGGAAACAATTGGCTGTAATAAAAGGCCTAGCTGGTTTTGTTCTCTTCGTGCCTAAATTAGAGCCGTATAAGCGATTCCGAATTCCGGGTATACTCGTACCTTATTTCCATATCGATTGCATAGAGAAGAACGATAAGTAATATATAAATTATGTTCAATCGCCTTTATACGAACATCAAATTAGGCGCGATCGAACCAAGCACAATCGGGGGAATCGTTCAAAGCCAAGCGTAGCTCACGATCCGTAAAAGTATCACAATGAAGAATAGAATAATAGCCAATTATTTGATCAAGTCGCAAAAAGTGTTCTATTTTTCTTTTCTACAAATTTTTCGTACATAGAAACTATACAGCCAAATCTGTTCAAATATGTTCATCATTATTAATAACGGATCATATAGACAGCGGAAAAATTGTCGATTCTTTTGGTAAGTAAATATCCTCTTTGAAAGAAAGATAAATATTTAATACCTGTTACCATTAATTTTTATATGTCAAGTTATAGACTCGACCTGATATGACAGTTTCCATTGACATCGCTGATTCATCAGAAACTCTTGACACTCACAATTCGAAATAAGATAATTCGGAATAAGACAAACCCGAGAATCAATTTCGATCGAACACTCACCTGCGAGAGCTGGTACCAGTGGGCGACGGTGCGGAGCTGCTACCACCAGGCGAGTCCGGGCCGTCGTCAGCGTCGCCCTCGACAGAGCCGAAGCCCTCGTAGCTCTCCTCCTCGTCGTAGCAGCCAATCTTGACGACAGCGGCGGCGGGCGTTGCGCCGCCAGCGTGATCCGGACTCACCGAGTACCGACCAGAGTCCTGGTGATTCGTGCTCGTCACGAGATTGTGCAGGTCGACCGACATCGAGAGCGACGGTGGGCCGCTCTGACTCCATCCGACGTTGGCAGTGCCACCGTCGTCGCCTCCACCGTCCCGACCACTGTCACCGTCACCGTCACCGTTGCCGCGGCGTACACCGTCGTCGCTGCCGTTCTCAGGGCCGCCGTTCACGCGACTCTCGTCCTCGCCGAGCCCGACGCCGGCGTCGACGCCGTCGGGCGACGAGGACACTTCGTCGGCCTCGTTATTGGCCGCGTTATTAGCGGGTGTGACGTTGTTGACACCAGGCGTACGGGAGCTCACCATTCTTCGTTATCGTTCCAGTTTGCTCGCCGGCTGCACACCAGCCAGGATTCGCGAGGCCACGCGGAGGAGCTCTCATCCGCGGCCTCACCTTCTATCACACTTTTGGCGACTCTGAAACAGTGCGTCGCGAGACGATAATTAAGAGGAAGCGAGGATATGTATCGCTGCTACGGCGATTATCGAATGTTTCCGAAGGAACTGAAATAGAAAAGGAGTTGGAGGAGGAAGGTGAGAAGTGGAGAGAGTGGCACTGTGTCCTAAAAAGGGACGATACCCATAAAAGAGGAAGAAGAAGAAGAAGACGTTGGTGAGTCAGACCTGAGATATGTCAGGAGCGCGTCCGCTTCGGGACCGGCTAGCGGTGCAGCAAGAGAAAGGGGAGAGAGAGGGGAAGGTTGGGGGGGGAGAAAGGGTCGAGTCGTTGCCCGCGAGCTTCTTCTCTCTCGTCCTCCAACCAGAAGTCGCGGTCGAGGTGAACTTCTACGCATGATCCTTTTTTACTATTTACGTCTTTCCTCCCAACATTAGAACACCGAGTACACATTTTTGTCCGCGTGACCTCCCCATGTAATTCTCGAAATGAACGATTATATAAAAAGCAAATTTATTGACTCGGTGCGACCAGCGATTATTTGAATGCCTCAGACAATGTCTCTCGGGCTTTCCCAGTTGAGAAACAATCTAATGATTTTCAAAATTATTTCTAATATAGTTCTTAAAATTCAAATTTTGTTATTTATGAAATAGCTTTTTCAACACTCAAGTTTCGAAAATTGAGATAGGTTGTTGAGAAACAAAATAGAAAGGAAGAAGAGTGGTAACGTGTTTTAAAAGGAGCAAATCAATGTATGAAAGAGAACAAAGAAAACGTGACGACCTTTCGAGTTTCAACCTTTGCCTGACCGCGAATTTTATTGAACATCTACTCGTTGCTAAATCGCGCATGCTCGAGAGGCGGGCGACAGCGATAATTAATGTGACCTAATGGCCTCTAAAGATTCTAAGCGAATTTTTTTCTGCGAAGTAACTTGGCCTCCTTTTTGACCTGTTGCACTTTTTAATTCTTTTTCCTCTTTTGCAGGATATACCCGCGGAGAACGGCGCTGCGCCATGCTAATGCAGCTCCGCGGCTACGGGGGAATGACGGTGAGATCTCGTGATATCTAACAATCAGCTTATTAAGCGCATTCTAAAGACACGGAGTAGGAGAAAAGCGTGAGAACCGGCGGGAAGTCACGGTACAGCGAGTCAAGCCTGCAAGAATCGCCGAAGGAAGGTAAGAATTTGCTTGCCGATGAATTATTTACGATAGAAACCCGCGCCCCCGCGTGCGCGCTCTTCGTTACGTTGACCGAAGAATTATTTAATCTCGCCTTTATCTTGCGCGCTCTCCACGTGACTTACTCCATTGAGCTTCGAAGTTTCGAGGACTGCGTGTGTAAATACGGCAATTCAGATGCAACTTTATCGTCGAGTGCGAACAGGTGCTGGTAACTTTGGACAATTGTTTGCGCGCGAGCATTTCGCGCTCTGTGGACGTTGAAACCTCTCCACGGTTTTGTTGAAACAAAGATCAGTCTTCCAAGACGAATTCAAACGAGATAACATCGTTGTTTTTTTCTCTTCGTTTCCAACGATTTCAATGTGAAAACGTTGAATATGTTTTCAAACCGCCGTGAATAACGTTCTCGATGGTTCTTACGATGTGAAAAAAACACGCTTGCATCAATTTGTGTAATAATAAACTTGCTCGAGTATACGCGAATAAAATGAAATCGCAGAGATCACTATCGCTGTTTAATATTGTACGAAAAAAATTAGAGTGCAGTCAGAAACGCGAAATCTGGAAAACGAAGAGGTCGAATACGTGCACGAACGCTCCGAATCGCCACATTTTATGAAGACTGGAAATTGTCTTGTCGAGATCGGCGAAAATATAGCGCGCACAAAACAAGTTTTATCAGGCTTATCGAAAAATTGTGCATCGCGCGTTTAATTTTCGCGATACGTAGCTAAAAAACAAAGCAATTCTTTTTTTCCGTTTAATACGATTTCGTTATTGATGAATCAGCGGCGCGAAGAACTTCATTGGACGAGACGACAATGAACGGAATTAAGAACGTTTTAAGACCAGATGCACCAAATGATTCACACTTAGCGATTTCTTCAGTATAAGATTAATCGTTTAACTTATTGAGCCAGTTTTTTTATTTAAAAGCATTGATTGTAATCAATATTTGTTAAATTATGATTTTTTTTATCAAATTATGATATTTGTTGATATGTGTGTGAGAGAGAGAGAGAGAGAGAGAGAGAGAGAGAGAGAGAGAGAGAGAGA